AAAAGTATAAAAATCATTCCTTGTACCTTCTCAGACCACCATGGAATAAAAGTTGAACTCAACAGCAACAGGAATCTTCACACTCAAACAAAGTCATGGAAACTAAATAATCTTAGCCTGAATGATAGCTGAGTCCTGACAAGATTAAGAAGGAAATCGTCAAATTTTTGGAACAAAATGATAATGAAGGCACAAATTATTAAAACCTGTGGGATACTGCAAAGGCAATCCTAAGAGGGAAATTTATAGCATTTGAAGCCTTCATCAAGAAAACAGAAAGACAAGAAGCCAGGAACTTAACTTAATGGATCATCTCAAGCAACTGGAAAAGGAAGGACATTCCAACCCCAAACCCAGCAGAAGAAAAGAAATAACCAAAATTAGGGCATAATTAAATGAAATTGAAAACAAAAGAATCATTCAGAAGATAAACAAAACAAAAAGTTGGTTTTTTGAAAAGATTAACAAAATTGATAAACCTTTGGCCAACCTAACCAGAAATAGAAAAGTAAAATCTCTAATATCATCTATCAGAAACAATAAAAGAGAAATAACAACAGACACTTCAGGAGTACAAAAAATCCTCTATGATTACTACAAAAATCTCTATTCCCAGAAATATGAAAATCTGAAAGAAATGGACCAATACCTGGAAGCACGTCACCTTCCTAGACTCAACAGGAAAAAATTAGGAATGTTGAATAGACCTATATCAATCACTGAAATAGCACCAGCAATACAAGATCTCCCAAGAAAGAAAAATCTGGGACCAGATGGTTTCATATCCAAATTCTTTTAAACCTTTCAAGAGGAACTAGTACCTATATTATGAAATGTTTTCCAAAGCATAGAAAAAGAAGGAATACTTCCCAACACATTCTATGAAGCAAATATCACCCTGATCCCCAAACCAGGAAAGGATCCAACAAAGAAAGAAAATTATAGGCCAATATCATTAATGATTATTGATGCGAAAATTTTCAATAAGATCTTAGCAAACAGAATTCAACAACATATCAAAAAAATTATACACCATCATCAAGTTGGTTTTATTCCAGGGTTACAGGGTTGGTTCAACATATGCAAATCTATAAATATAATATATCACATCAATAAAATAAAAAACAAAGATCATATGATCCTCTCGATTGACACAGAAAGCCTTTGATAATATCCAGCATCCTTTCATGATCAGAACACTTAAGAAAATAGGCATAGAAGGGACATTTCTTAAACTGATAGAGGCCATTTACAGCAAATCCACAGCCAATATCATATTGAATGTATAAAATTGAAAACATTTCCACTCAGATCAGGAGTGAGGCAAGGATGCCCACTATCTCCACTGCTATTCAACAGAGTAATGGAAGTCATAGCTATCTCAATCAGGCTTAGCTATCTCAATCAGGCAAGAGAAAGCGATAAAGGTATCCAAATAGGGTCAGAGGAGACCAAACTCTTACTCTTCGCTGATGATATAATCCTATACCTGGAAAATCCCAGGGACTCAACTTCAAAACTCTTAGAAGTGATCAAGGAATACAGCAGCATCTCAGGATACAAAATCAATACTTACAAGTCAGTAGCTTGTATATATGCCAACAATAGTCAAGCTAAAAATATAGTTGAGGACTCTATTCCTTTTATAATAGTGCCAAAGAAGATGAAATATCTGGGAATTTACCTAACAAAGAACGAAAGGTCTCTATAAAGAGAATTATGAAACTCTGAGAAAAGAAATAGCTGAAGATGTTAACAAATGGAAAAACATACCATGCTCATGGCTGGGAAGAATCAACATTGTTAAAATGTCCATACTACCCAAAGCAACCTACAGATTTAATGCAATCCTTATTAAAGTACCATTGTTATACTTTAAAGAACTTGAAAAAATAGTACTTAATTTTATATGGAATCAGAAAAAAACTTGAATAGCAAATACATTACTCAGAAATAAGAACAAATCAGGAGGTATCACATTACTAGACTTTAGGCTATATTATGAATCTATAGTGATCAAAACAGCATGGTATTGGCACAAAAACAGAGCAGTAGATTTATGGAACAGAATAGAGAACCAAGAGATGAACCCAGCTACTTATCACCATTTAATCTTCGACAAGCCTATCAAAAATATTCATGGGGGAAAGACTCCCTTTTTTACAAATGGTGCTTGATGATCTAGCTGGCGACCTGTAGAAGACTGAAACTGGATCCATACCTTTCACCATTAACAAAAATTGATTCTCACTGGATAAAAGATTTAAACTTAAGACATGAAACTATAAAAATACTAGAAGAGAGTACAGGGAAAACACTTGAAGAAATTGGCCTGGGAGAATACTTTATGAGGAGGACCTCCCGGGCAATTGAAGCAACACCCAAAATCCATTACTGGGATCTGACCAAACTAAAAAGCTTTTGCACAGCCAAGAGCACAGTAAGTAAAGCAAACAGACAACTTTCAGAGTGGGAGAAGATTTTTGCAGGTTATACTCTGACAAAGGTCTGATAACTAGAATCTACAGAGAACTCAAACTAATTAATAAGAAAAGAACAAATAACCACATTTCTATGTGGGCATGAGACTTGAACAGAAACTTCTCTGATGAAGACAGGTGCATGGCCTACAAACACGTGAAAAAATGCTCATCATCCTTAATTATCAAAGAAATGCAAATCAAAACCACTTTGAGATATCTAACTCCAGTAAGATTAGCCCACATCACAAAATCCCAAAACTACAGATGTTGGCATGGATGCAGAGAGAAGGGAATGCTTCTACACTGCTGGTGGGAATGCAAGCTAATATAACATTTTTGGAAAGAAGTTTGCAGAACACTTAAGGAACTAAAAATAGACCTACCATTTGATCCTGCAATTCCTCTACTAGGCATATACCCAGATGATCAAAAATTATTTTCCAACAAAGACATTTGCACCAGAATATTTATTGCAGTCCAATTCATAATAGCCAAGACATGGAAACAGTCCAAGTGCCCATCGACCCATGAATGAATTAACAAATTGTGGTATATGTACACCATGGAATACTATGCAGATGTAAAAAAGATGGAGACTTCACATCTTTTATGTTTACCTGGATGGAGCTAGAACATATTCTTCTTAGTAAGGTATCTCAAGAATGGAAAATAAAGTATCCAATGTACTCAATACTACTATGAAATGAATATATAATCACCTACACACTCATATGAATGGCAAAACATAACTATAGTCCAGAAAATAGAAGGGAAGAGGAGAGAGAGGGGAAGGTAGGGGAGATATGGGAGGAGAGGGAGGGTATTTGGGGGGATCTCACCTAATATGCATGATGCAATGGTACATTTCAAAACTATTAAGAAATGAATATAATTGTGATGGATGTGTTACTTAGTTCAATGTGAGCATTTCGCATTGTATATCAAAGCAGTACCCTGAACCCTATAAATGCATCAGTGTACAAAGTTATGATTGAATAAAAAATAATTTAAAAAAAGAAACAAAAGGTCTCCATCAGAAAAAACAAAAACACAAACACAAACAAAAATCAGCTGGGTGTTGTGGTGGGTGCCTGTAGTCCCAGCTACTTAGGAAGCTGAGGCAAGAGAATCACTTAAACTCAAGAGTTTGAGGTTTCTGTTAGCTGTGATGTCACAGCACTCCACCCAGGGCAGTAGCTTGAGACTCTGTCTCAAGAAATAAAAACAAAAACATCTTATTCTTTGGTATCCCTTCTGTATACAATCACACGCATTGATTAGAATTCTTATTTATAGTAACTTCACTTTTTTTTTTTTTTTGAGGCAGTGCCTCAAGCTGTCCCCCTGGGCAGAGTGCCGTGGCATCACAGCTCACAGCAACCTTCAACTCCTGGGCTCAAGTGAGTCTCCTGCCTCCACCTCCCAAGTAGCTGGAACTACAGGTGCCCGCTGCAACGCCTGGTTACTTTTTGGTTGCAGCCATCATTGTTGTTTTTGGTGGGTCTGGGCTGGATTCAAACCCGCCACCTTAGGTGGCTGGCGCCTTAGCCACTTGAGCCACAGGTGCTGAGCCAGTAACTTTATATTTTTAGTGAAAACTTAAGAAGTAAAAAGTCATGAATTGTCATTATAAAACAATTTTCATGATAGTTTACTACAAAATTAGTCATTCACTTAGCCAAACTGATAATTAAAAGGTTTTAAAAAGCAGGGACCTCACCTAACAAACACAAACATTATAACCTAGTTGTTTGTACCAACTTCATATTTTTATAAAATAAAAAATAAAAAGATTTAAAAAAGCAAAAATATTACTCTTTGATAGCAAATAGACCTCAGTTTCCCAAACAATCATAAAACCTAATACAGACAAACTGAAATATGAATTGAGGAGCCCAACTGAATCTGTTTCTCTTTTTGTCTCCCCCCTCCACTCTGCAGTTTATTCAAAAGGTGAATAAAAATACGCTTTATTTTTCCTAATAACATCATATGCAAATCTTGTTCAAAGAGAAAGCAAACCAGTCTGGGCATGGTGGCTCATGGGTGTAATCCTAGCATTCTAGGGGGCCAAGGTGGGTGGATTGCCTTAGCTAACAGGTTCGAGACCAGCCTGAGCCAGAGCAAGACCTTGTCTCTAAAAATAGTGGGGCACTGTAGTGGGTGCCTGTAGTTCCAGCTACTTGAGAGGCTGAGGCAAGAGAATTGGTTGAGCCCAAGAGTTGAAGGTTGCTGTGAGCTGTGATGCAAGGGCAATCTACTGGGGGCAAGAAAGTGAGACTCTTATCTCAAAGGAAAAAAAAAGAGAAAGCAAAATTATTTCATTGCATTATTGTATTAATGATAAAGCAAGCCCAATTTTAATAAAATCTTATAAAGAAATCCACCTGACTTTAATCAATTTTACTGTAATTTTAATAAATCTTTTGTAACTTTTATTCTTAACTTTTATATGTATTCAGTTTTAATCATCATTTACTTGTTTAATTTAAAACAGCTTTTAAAACTTATAAATTAGTGCTCACCCCAGCAGCACATATGCTAAAAGCGGAACAATGTAGAGAAAATTAGCATGGCCCCTGCACAAGGATGACACACAAATTCATGAAGTGTTCCATCTTTTTATACAGCCTCTTTGGAAAGAAGTATGGAGAATCCTCAAAGAACTCAAATCAGATCTCTCATTTGACCCCACAATCCCACTATTAGGCATCTACCCAGAAAAAAATAAAAAAACCACCACTTTATCATAAAGACACTTGCACTAGAGTGTTTATCGAAGCTCAGCTTACAATTGCAAGATGTAGAAACAACCTAAATGTCCATCAAGCCAGGAATGGATTAACAAGCCGTGATATATGGATACCATGGAATACTATTCAGCCATAAAAGGGGTCACTTTACATTTTTTGTATTAATCCAGATAGAGGTGAAACACATTCTTCTCAGTAAAGTATCACAAGAATGGAAAAGCAAGTATTAAATGTATTCAATACTAACATGAAGCCAGTAGACAATCTAATACATGGACACAAAGGAGAAAAACTCCTTTCAATTCAAATTGGGAGTAGGAATCCTGAGGGAGGGGGAAAAAGGGGATTTGGGGTGCTCTCACTTAATGTGCTCAATGTAGGGGTGTATAGCACACCTTTTGGGTGTGGGACACAACTAGCAAATTAAAATATTGTGACTTAGTTGCTTGTACCAGGTTATTCTACATTAACCTGAAATTTAAAAATCCCTATAAATTAGACAAAATTATCTTTTAAACAAACTATTAATATTTTGATGTCTTATAAACTTTTTATTCAAAAAAATCATATTAGGTAACCAGAATTGTTTCTGTTTTATCTAGTAGTTTTAGTTACATGTAATAATTCTAATTTCAACTCTTAGAAAAACCTAGAAAGTTAAAATAACTTTGAACTGTTATCAATCCCCAATTTTTATTAGCACACCTAAATATATTTAGGTTTCTATATTGCATAAAAATAAGATGTCAAAGTATACAAGCTTAAACAAGCTTGTCTAACAGGGATCAATATATAGTTTTAATTACTGCCTATAAACTTATAAATCCTACCAAGTAAAATGAACATAAGTATTTTAATAAGACTTGTTTCAAATAATGTAACATCATTTCTAAATTTTATAAATGTAGTAGACGTTTTTAGAATATAGTCTATTTAAAGGTAAGATACTACCAAAACACCACATCCCAAAACAAAATCTGTTGAAACTGTAGGGATTAATGAATGGTCTCTGGCCCCCAAAGTTTAGTAGAATTGTAGGGAGTAAAGGCCACAGTTCCCACAGAGATTCGCTGAACATTCACAAGAGGCAGAGTAATTGATAGTAGGAAAAATTACAAACTTATACATGGGTACCTTCAGAATGAATTTTCAAAGATATAGGAGAAATTGTCCATTTTTATGCTTAGGGTCAACAGAGTATGGGTAGCAATGTAGGAATATGGTTGATCTAAGACTAACAGGCTGAGTGGGGAACCCAGAAAGGCCTCTTTATCTAGATTGTCTGTGGCCACTCTGAGTGTACATTCCTTCCTTCTAGGAATGAGACAGTTTTACAGTAAAACAAAGTAGGTCAGATCATTACTTTGTGGCCAGTTTCTACATAGAATAATTTTAGGTTTTATGATGAGAGTAGTAAAATTTTCCTTTTCTTCAACCAGGAAGTTTTAGGAGTTCCATACCTAAAAATTGTTTGGTAGTTAATTGTGCAGTGTTAATGATGCCATGTTCTGGAAGGACATCTCTGAGGCTGTCTGTGTCTCCTATACTTAAGACTTCATTTAATCCTTATTATCTCCTTTAAAGCACTATATTTAAATGTAGTCACTTTAGAGTTAGGACTTCCAACATAGGAATTTTAGGAGAACACATTTCAGTTCATAACATTTGTAATGTTTTCTTAAATATTAGGCACTTGAATAAACAGCCACCTCTCCCAATCACTGCGGACAGACTTCCTGCAGAGGATGCCTCATTTATTAGCCAGCTGTGAAGGCTCAGGGTACTGCCTGTCACACTCTTTGGAGGATGTGTCTCTTTCCTGGGCCTGTGTTTACTTTTGATCTAGTTCCCTCGTATATACCATTGCTTTTAAATGTCTTAATTTCTCTAAGAGTCTCATTCCTGCTAATCCTAGTGTTTTCCTCTTCCCAATATTTCCTGCCCTACAAAAGTAGCAGGAATGAGCCCTCACAGGTCCACACTCTCCCCATAGTTCACTTCTGCCCCGGAACCAGCCCTGCTTTGAGTGTCACTCAACTTGATATTTAAATTATGCCACCATTTCTTTTTTTTTT